GGGGGGGAGGGAGGGAGGGCATTGTTTTCTGGTGTTTTATGAAATTTTATGCCACTTCTTGTTTTCTCTAATGCTTTGGACTGACAACTATTTTCCTAGATATTTTTACACGTGACTTTGATTAGGTTTCTTTTTCAAATTCTTATGTCTTGCCTATCTTGTAGATAAAGGCTTCCCAAAAGGACTTTGAACAGCTACTTCAGGAACAAAGGTTTGATCAAGTTTTATACTAAAAAGATGCACTTTGTAGTGTTTTCCTTATTTGATGCTATACACACTCTAGAATAGTGGTTAGATATGAAAGTTTTTTTTCTGATGGGATCATCTTTGGCAGGTGAAAACTCGCTTAAAAAGAAAACTCTCGCTTTGTGGCACTGCTTGTTAAGATTATTGTGGTCCTCTAATTGTGTAGGCCTGTTCTCTTAAATCCTACTGGTAAGCCTGAAAATTACAACTACATACCACCCAATATAGATTGTCCTCTCATGAGTTTGTATCTACATTACATTTACAAGTTAGAAGACTACTGCTCCCTTTTTGTGTTCAGCCTGTAAAGCTCTGTGTGTTTTGTACTAATGTGTTTTCTGGACAGCTCAACCTCAGTTCAGGGGAAACTGCTGCAGCACAATCTAGATCCTGAAGTTGTTTCTGCTCTCAAGGGTCTTAAGAAGCAGCTTGTTGAAAAGGAATCAAAGTAGTCTGTGGTTTCTCTATGTTGGTTGTGGCCCTCAATTGCAAAAGAAATTTATCTCATGAATTAATTGTGCATTTATTTGTCATAAGGATATTTACATTTCACATGGAAGAGTTGTTTTCATTTAAATCATAGGGAAGAAAATGGATTTCATGAAGCTTGGTGATTGTGGGAGAGAGATGAAGGTCCTTGGTTTTTTCTTGCTCCACTTCTCTTATTTTGGCCCAAACACTCTTTCTGAAATTATGAGGCCCCACTTAGTGGTCCTTTCTTTTTGATTATTGGCTGTGTAGTTTCCTCTTTAGCTTCTTTGTACGGTTGCATGTTCTGCATTTTTTTGAAGCTAGTGTGCAATTGTTGCGGGTCTTCTATGCAGCAGCCTCCATATCACAAGGGTTGAAGGTTGTGACCACATTATGGAAACATAAGGCTTTTGGAGCTACATTCCAATGATAGCAGCTGGATTAGTTGTTGCTCTATCCCATGCTTTGAAAGCTTGGTTATGTTAACTTTGACCAAAGAAGTGCATCAACCTCGAACTTCCTAAACTAATCAAAGCTTATAGCAATGACATTCCAAGTAGGACGTGGCTGAGTTACTTGGCCTCAGGCAAGGCGAGTTTCACCCGAGTGGGCTGAACACCCCTGTGAACATTGATTACACATATTATATGTCCATTTGAGTCAAAAGCGAGCAAACAACTTCTTGGTAGGATGCCCACACCAGTGTGGGGGAAGTTCAAATCCCCTCCCAAACATTGTGGTTAATTATTTTTTCAAAATCAGATTTGTTTTAAGAAGTCAAAAAAGGGCAGTTCCAAGAAGTACCATGGGGGGAATGCAGCCTAAGACTTTGTGTAAAAGGGAATACAAAGAGTGGCCAACTTACCAACACGCCCCGTTATGTTTTTTATACGAAATGGGTAGGTTATATATGTTGGGTTTATGTGGCCTTTAAAGGTTTTATGAGTGTTTGTAAAATGAAATGATATAGTAGAACATGAACTCAGTGGGAGTGTGGTCTCTCGTGGATCATATTAAGCAAATGATGTTTGCAGATACCGTATTGTGCTTGACGATCTAGGCCAGTCGGTTGGGAAAAACCCATGTTACTTGGGCATAAAGAACAAACCGAAAAGGGCTCTAATGGGTTAGCTTTTGATGAGGTTGGATAATATGCCCGATGCGTGAGTTGAGGGACTGTGTGACCCTTGTGTGTGATGGTGGCCTATAGAGACAAGGGTCAATATTTCATCCATGTACAATAACACGGCATGCATATCGATAAATCGTTCGAGAAAGTCAGAAATCCATTTTTTAGGGTGAAACGTATGCATGTGTGAGAGATACCCCTATGAGCCATAGAACTGTGATTGCATAAGGTCTTGGTGACTTTGACTTGTCTCTAGGGGAGGACCTGGAATCCACAGATTGGGATTGTGACTCCTTGATTCATCGACCTGACCTGGTGACCCGCTAATGAGCCCATACTTGGATTGTGGGTCATGGGAAACACTGGGTAGGTCTGATAAAACAAGTGTGGTCTGTAGTCCACAGTTGAAGGTGGAGTGCCCCATGATTGTTGATTCTTAAACCATATGGATTCTTTTCCCTTGTGTTTGTTTTATGATGGAAATTATTTTAAGATTATTATTTGAATTTTTATGAACCTCTGGATATTTTATTTATAATTTTTGGATTTATAAAATTAAAGATATTGATTTTACAATTGTTTAAATATTCAAATAATATTTTAAAATCTTTTTATTAATTTTAAATATATAAAAATATCATGGGGGCCCATTGTGCATATGGGCCTGCCATAATTGTTTTTAGAAGATGGGGCCCATGAGTGCCTCATTTGGGTGGCACGCCCCACCCTTATGCTCTTTCTTATTTTTTGGTGACATGACATGTTGCCATATGGTTGAAAGATATCGACTAAATATTGATTTGATATATTTTTGAAAGATTTTGTGGAAATGTTGAGTAGACTTGTGTTATTTTATGGTATATACAATATTTTGATTAGATTTAATTTATTTAATTTCTATTGATGGAAAAAAGGTTTAGAAAAGGGAGATAATGGTTCATGCACTTTTCATAATGTTGATGACCCATCTATGGAATGGATGACTCATATATTTCACCCCACAAGTCACCTTTGATCGACGATCTATGTCCAATCTCACAAGAAGATGCAAGCCAAAGAAAACCCTAAGAAACCTAAATCTTATTCAAAGCTCATAAAAATAAATTGTCTATACCAAAAAATCTCTACACCTTATCTCTTGTACCTAATTCCTATATTTATCTCTTGTATCCCAAAAAGGGGGCACACACCACTCTCTCATGTTTGATTTCTTTCATATTGTGAAAGAACCTAAGGGTTTAGGTTATAGAGTTCTTCTCTAATATCTTTTAAATATGGATTTATGGCTAAGGGTTTTAAGGTTTAGCAAAAAGAGAATCCATCTCTTTGAAGTTAGGTTGCTAAAAGAATTCACCTAAGGTTTGAATTTGTGATCAAAGGGGTTCATGTTCCATTGGTGTGGCTTGGCCAAAATTTGCTTTCCCGGTGCGAGATTGAAGCTAGACTGTTGATACAGCCCCATCGGATGGTGGTGACTCGGTGTGGAGTGTAATAAGCCCGATTGATGTAATCTCCTGCACTCTTCCTTTTATTTCTCGCAATCTTATCTTTTATTCTCAAGCATAGTGCATAGTTGTTTCAATGATATCAAGTTATTAAGATCTTGGTTTTATTATTATGTTGATTTTATTTTGAAATTTATCTTATTATAATAAAGACCACCTGTAAGTGATCTTTTGCCAAAAGAAAAGGGTGAAAAGAAAGAAAAAAAGAAAATGTATTTCCCGGTAAAAGATCACATAGATGTTTCTTTCAATATATTATATGCTATTATTTCTGTCACTATTTTCAGCTTTTTAATTCGGATGGATACGGGCGAGTTACTCGGACTCACCTGACTAACTTGGCTCCACCAATGGGGCGCCAATGTCTTTGTGGTCTTTCATCATTTGCTGCTTGTATTTAACTCCCGTTAAATGGTAGACTTGAGCACAAGTATCATATATTGGATTTCTTAGCCATTTGCCGAGTCGTCAATTTAGGGTTTGCTTATGAAGAGACTGAAATGCATTGTTTTAGTAATTGGTTGAGGATGATTTGGACAGTTTTCGAGTAGCATTCAGAATGGGTGTGTTTAACAGTAGGAAAGAAAAGGTTGACGGGGTCTTTTATATTGCAATGTTTGAAATGAGGTGCTCCATCAATAGGGCGGGGTGGTAGACAGTTTTTACCACCAATTTCCACTTACCAAATGAATCCACATTCTTAGGGCTAAGGGGTTCTTACAGCTCTCGGGTCCTTTTCAGGTTTCCGTATTAGAGCTAGACCTAGGGTTTAAACCTCCCTCATGCAACGGAAGCTGACTTACCTTCTAGAGTGAGAGAGAGATCTTGCGATGACTTCCTCTTGGGCTGTCTCCTATAACTTCCATAAAAATTTATAGCGTTTAAGAGAATGAATAAAATACTTGGTAATCAAATAGGTCCTACATCTACATTAGGATGCTTTGTTGAGGTTTAGGGGCCATTTAGATACCTGCAAATATATTGTTTGTGAAATATAATATATTATTGGTGTAATACATTACTGTGTAATACATTACCTGCAAATGGATTATTACTGTTTGGATAGTATTTAGATACAACTTGAGAAATACATGACCACTGTTTGGCTATGTATATGGGAAATGCATTACCAACATTTTACCCGCACTTGCCTATATATTATCACTTCTTTCTTTTTTTTGTCACAAAATTCCATTGAAATGTGGAATTAAAGTCATCATCACATCATTTCAAAAATATTTTCTAATAATAATATCATCACCATTCTAAAAAGTTTTTCTAATAATAATTTGTACCATTCTAAAATCATCAATTTTTTACTTATTTTGCATGCCTTTGGCACTTATATGGAATCACTTGTCTTTTAATATGATTAGACTTTGGTTTCAACATGATGTCATTGGAATAATATGATTGCAATAACATGTTTTAATTGTGATAAGCCTTATTTTTATTTATTTATTTATAGAAGTCTTTTAAATGTCTCTCTATATAATTTCAAATAAGCAATAAATTATGATATCAAATTAAAAATCTTTATAGTACACATTAAAATGGGAAGAAGTTTGATTAATAAACTAAAAGATTTAGTAATTGCAGTAAAATTTTGAGGTATTGGAGGAAACTAAAAAGGTATTTTACTTCAATTCAGCTTTTACTAATCTCTTATGAGGATTATGTTGGGTCAAATTTTTTATTATAATTGTGTTGTGTAATTTCTTATGTTGGGTGAAATTTTTTATTATAATTGTGCTGTGTAATTTCTCATTGATTAGATATGATAAGGAGAATGGATATGCTAAGGAGTGAGAATGAAAAAGTCTAGATGAGAGAGTGAGGGGCTTAAAAAAAATAAAATAAGGATAAGAGAATGAAAAGGTCCAGAGAGTAAGGCACTCAAAAAAAAGGAAAAAAGAGGAAGAGGCCTCAAGATAAAAGGTTTCTCTAATGAGGATTATGTTGGAGGCTTATGTTGGGTGAAATTTTTTATTATAATTGTGCCGTGTAAATTCTCATTGATCAGATATGCTAAGGACAATGGATATGCTAAGGAGAGAGAATGAAAAGTTACAGATGAGAGAGTAAGGGGCTTACAAAAAAAATAAAAGGATTAAAGATAAGAGAATGAAAAAGTCCAGAATGGATATATCGAGATAGAATGAAAAAATCCAAATGAGAGAGTAAGGGGCTCAATAAAAGAAAAAAGAGGAAGATGCTTAAAGATAAGAGAATGAAAAATAGAGATGAGAGAGTAAGGGGCTTTAAAAAAAAAAATTTCTCTCATACGTTGGGTGAAATTTTTTATTATAATTATGTTGTGTAATTTCTTATGTTGGGTGAATTTTTTTATTATAATTGTGTCGTGTAATTTCTCATTGATCCGATATGCTAAGGAGAATGGATACGCTAAAGAGAGAGAATGAAAAAGTTCAGATGAGAGAGTAAAGGGCATAGAAAAAAAAGAGGAAGAGGCTCAAAGATAAGAGAACGAAAAAGTTCACATAAGAGAGTAAGGTATTTAAAAAAGAAAAGAAAAAAAGAGGAAGCAGCTTAAAGATAAAAGGGCTTAAAAAAAAAAAAAAAAGGAAAAAAGAGAAAGAGTCTTAAAGATAAAAAGGCTTAAA